CAGTAAAACAGTGTCAGGTTCTAGGTTTAATCCCGGAAAGAATCGTGTGAATAATTTGTGAAGATATTGGATAATAGGAACGTGCAAATGGCTATGAGCTTTGAGTAATTGTTTTCCATCTGCGACTGAATAGAAAATATTTTTCTCTAATCATTTTCAACATTAAGTGGGTTAATGACTATTTACAAACAGGAAGATCTGATGAAAGTAAATTAAAACCTCTAAAAGAGTGTCAACTTCCTGAAGGTTTCATCCCAGAAAAGACAAATGATTCTATTCAGTTTCAAAAATTAAACCGTGTGAAAAACTTGTAAAAATAACGTACAAAAGACTCTTGAAAATGGGGAAGAGTTTCGAAAGGAGGTTTCCATCCAATATCGAACATTTATTCTGAGGAGAAGCTATCGACGTGAACTGCAGATGAATGAATAAACCCTGATCCTATTCATCTCTCACACAGAAAATGGTTTTCATTGCTCAATTCCTGAGTTGAAGTAGGTTAATCACCGTTTATGTACAAAAATATCTGATGAAAATTCCTAAAAACCTTTGAAAGAGTGCCAACTTCCTCAAGGTTCAATTCCAGAAACGAGAAATGAGCCTACACAGTCTCAAAAATGAAACCGTGTGAATAACTTTCCAGAATAATGTACAATGAAATCTTGAAAATAGGAGAGAGCTTTGAGTGAAAGTTTTCATCGGACAGGCAATACGATCAATAATTATTTTATTCCAAGAAAAAGCTGTCTACCTGAGCTGCAGATGAGTGAAAAACCCTGATCCCATTTATCTCTCAATGCACAGAAAATGTTTTCCATTGCCCATTTTTGAGATGAAGTAGGTTAATCACCATTTATGCACAAAAATTTCTGATAAAAATAACTAAAAATCCTTGAAAGACTGTCGACTTCCTCAAGTTTTAATCGTCGAAAAGACAAATGATCGTATACAGCCGAAAAAAATGAAACAACGTGAATAATTTGTACAAATTATGTAAAAAATAGTGTAAAAATAATAATTTAAAAAATATTGTAAGCAACTAAACCGATAATTATTTCATTCCAAGACAGAATTGTCGACCTGAGCTACAGATGAAGGAAAAAACCCTGATCCCGTTTATCTCTCAATGCACAGAAAATGTTTTCCATTGCCCATTTTCGAGATGAAGCAGGTTAATCGCCATTCATGTGCGAAAAAAATTCTGATAAAAATAACTAAAAACTCTTAAAATAACTATAAAGAGTGTCAACTGCTTCAAAGTTCAATCATAGAGAGAACAAAAGATCCTACATAGCGTGAAAAAATAACACTATGTGAATAACTTGTAAAAATAAAATTTTCAAAATAATGTAAGCAACTAAATCAACAATTATTTCATTTCAAGAAGCTGTTGACCTGAGCTACAGGAGAATGAAAACCCCCCTTATCCTAATCATCTCTCAATGCACAAAAAATATTCTTTATTAATTTGTCACTATCCATTTTTGTGATAAAGTAGGTTAATCACCATTTATATACAAAAATATCAGATAAAAACACCTAAAACTCCCTAAGAGTCAACTTCCCCAAGGTTCAATCCCAGAAAGTACAACCGCTCCCATACAGCCTCAAAGAAAGAGCCGTGTGACTAACTCTAAAAAATACCCCAACAATAAGACCTTTAAATCTGGAAAAAGTTTCCCATGAGTATTCTCTCCCCCGAGATTTCCTACAAATCCGTAAAACCGTGCCCCCCCCCCTAAAAAAAATCCATCAACAGTGAATGCACTTGTACTACAATGAGGAAGCGTCTCTCCACATTGAAGTGTCAATGTAATAATAATAATTATTATTATTATTGCGTCCTTATTGTAGAAGCGTCACGATAATAGTCATTTGATTTCCTTGTTTAGTAATTAATTTATATCAAGAAGAAGCTGCCCAAAAAATATTTTTCATCAAATGTTTTTCACTATCCATTTTTTAGATGAAATCACCACACGGAGAGAAATTTTTGATAAAAATTATCCTACCATTCTATAAAAGTGTATCATGAGTCGTTTCCTCATTTCTATCCCAAAATTTAGTAAAAATTTATATATGATGATGAAATTTTATTCTGCGTTAGAGAAATTTTATCATAATAAAAATAAAAATTACCGTGTCGGTAGAGTAAAAATTACTGTACCGATAGGGTCAAATTTACCAACTGTTCTAGAATTTTCGTTGTTATCTACATAAAAATTACTGGACTGGAAGGATAAAATTTCTCCAACGTAGAGTAAAATTTGATAATCATATATTAATTTTTACTAAATTTCGGGATAGAAATGAGGAAACGATGCCTCATGATACACTTTTATAGAACGGTAGGATAATTTTTGTCAAAAATTTCTCTCCGTGAATTTATGTACCAGAATATCAGATAAAAATACTTAAAACCCCCTAAAAGAGTCAACTTCCCCAAGGTTCAATCGGCCAGAAAGGACAAACTTTCCCACGCAGCCTCAAAAAGCACAACAATAAGACCGTTGAATCTTGAAAAACTCTCGTAAGCATTCTCTCCCCCCGAGATTTCCTAAAAATTCGTAAACCCGTGTTCCCCCCGAATAATCCATCACCAGTGAACCCACCTGTACTAAAATGAGGAAGCACCGCTCCACATTGAAGCGCCAGCATATGTCATTATTTCAAGGGGAATGCGCCTAATTTGAAACCAAGTCAGAGAATCGAGGTTTTAAATCGCCATACACATACCTTGCATTATGTACGCACCGGTACAAACACAGAGAGACCGCGTTAATCATCGTCAAACCTTAACGAGCACCACGTAAAATGGCACTTATATCGCCGCACCCCAAGGTAGACCGCTAGTCGTTAGATCCTCTTTCAGGTAAAGAATCTCAGACAGTTGTGGCTACGAGAGCAGAAGCTGCAGGTGAAATACAGGGGGGGAAATTTTCAACATTTGGAAAAGCCGTCCCTCACTCCTGCTGAGCTCAAAATTATTGCACCAATGCCCTCTGTCACGCGGACACGTGCGAGTGATTTCAAAAGCAACTGACAATAACGACCGGCAATACTCTAGTTATTAGTGAAGGTCAGTGACTCGACAATATCCAGATAACTACCAGGCTTCATTTAACGCGCCAATGGAAATCCTATTCAATAATCCGTCACGATAAGAAATAATACACTTTCATCTGTTGTTTTCCCGAACCGAAGGAACTCCGTGAATCATAAATCTTCGATCACTCCGCCAGGATTTGTTTCTCCATCATCCGATGAATCTGATCCGATGAATGATGAATTAGTTTTTGAATGAGAACAAAAAAATCAATTCTATCAAATCAATTCCCACGCCAAAGGTTATTTCCATAATTATTTTATGTTGAGACAGATAAATAAAAAATTCTGATCCTAATCATCTCTCAATGCACAAAAAATGTTTTTCATCAAATGTTTTTCGTTGTCCATTTTTGATATGAAGTAAATTAATCACCATTTATGCACAAAAATATCTGATAAAAATAACTAAAAATCCTAGAAATCGTATTTAATAATTTGTCTAGTAATGCACTTTCATCTGTTGTTTTCCCGAACTGAAGTAACTCTACGAATCATAAATCTTCAATCACTCCTCCATGATTTGTTTCTCTATCTGATGATGAATGATAAATTAGTTTCCAAATGAAAACAAAAACATCAATTCAATCAAATCAGTTCCCACGCCAAAGGATATTTTCATAATAATTTTATGTCAAGATAAAGCTGTCAGCCCGAGCTACTAGATAAATAAAAAAACCGTGATCCTAATCATCTCTCAATGCACAGAGAATCTTTTTCACTACCCATTTCTAAGATAAAGTAGGTTAATCACCATTTATGCACAAAAATTTCGGATAAAAATAAATAAAAATCCTTAGAAGCGTGTCAACTTCTTCAAGATTCAATCTCAGAAAAGACAAATGATCCTACATAGCCGAAAAAAATAAAACCATGTAAATAAATTGTAAAAATGATGAAAAAACCCAAATCAATAATTATTTCATTTCCAGAAGAAGCTGTTGACCTGAGCTACAGAAGAAATCCCCTGATCCTAACCATCTTTCAATGCACAAAAAATATTTTTCATCAAATCAGTAGCGAAGTGGTAAAACGGTTTAAGTCGACTCATCTCCCAATTGAGTTTTTGAAGAATATTTCCGAATCTAAGAGAAATGGCGGAATTTTCATAATTACATTTGTTGTAGCTCTCAATCGGCCCTACAAAAAAGGTCATAACACAAAATTTGCTATCTCCCTTAGATTCCGAGATATTCATTGAAAACTGACCAATAGTCAAAAATAAATGACTTATACCGTTTTACCACTTCGCTACTGAAATGTTTTTCGTTACCCATTTTTAAGACGAAGCAGGTTAATCACTATTTATACACAAAAATGTCTAATAAAAATAAATAGGGGAGTTTTTTTTAAATGTTAATGAGGGGTTGAAATGTTGATAAGATTTAATAATTATTTTTTCCAATACAAAGAACAATTCTTTCCCTTTGTGACGAGCCTAAACTGTCTAAAGAAAAAAATAAAACCATGTAAATAAATTATAAAAATAATGTAAACACCTAAATCAATAATTCTTTCATTTCCATAAGAAGCTGTTGACCTGAGGTACAGAAGGAAATCCCCTGATCCTAATCATCTCTCAATGCACAAAAATTATTTTTCATCAAATCTTGTCGTTATCCATTTCTGAGATGAACTAGGTTAATTAATAATCGCCATTTCACTAAATCACCATTTATGCGCAAAAATCAGATGAAAATAGCTAAAAATCCCAGAAATCGTGTTCAATAATCCGTCACGATAAAAGGTAATGCACTTTCATCTCTTGTTTTCCCAAACCGAAGCAACCCCACGAACCATAAATCTCCGATCGCTCCTCCCCGATTTGTTTCTCCATCACCCGCTGATGAATGATGAATTCATTCCAAATGAAACAAAAAAAAATCAACACTCACCGATTATCGAGCCCCCAACTCCCTTGTTTCCCACGCCGCCCGATATTTCCAATCCAATAGCACAGATTCACGCCAAACACTCCGTGAGAATCGCCCACAACGGCCCCGTTGTCGTCACCACGTGATAGCTGTCTCCACAATTAATCTCTTCCCCCCAATTGTTGAAATCAACACCACCAAGTCGTTAATTCGCCGCAATCACTCACCTCGAAACTCACACTTCCCGTTTTAAAAAAAATACTAAACTAAATACAAACAATTTACACCGAGCAATCTCCGCCCTTTGTTCTCACAATTTCAATAACAAAAAAAGTGAACGCAATCACTGGTGAATTGCGGGGAAAAACATTGCCTGAATACACGTACAGAATTTTGTTTACATTCTCAACGAGAAACACGCGCGTCAGTGAGGCATCCGCGGTGTCTCAGAGGCAAGTGCGGCCACCGCGCGCCTTCTCTCAAACACGGAATCGCAACTGACTGTCATCTCCCCCCTCTCGCTCCCACCTGAGGCTCAAGCCCATTGGCTCGGCCTCTTTCTCTCTTGTGTCCACCGACGTGAGACTTCAGAGCCTTGCCCCCTCTCCCCCCACAGTGCTGCGCCCGTTGGGGGTACATTGTCCTCATCGGTCACTCCATCCGTTTTTTTTTGCCCTCCAGTTTTTTCCCCTGATTTCTGCACCTGAAGCATCTTCATCGCCGACAAAAGCACGTGAAATTTTAATTTTAATAAAATTTCCGAGGCTCTTTTATTTGTGGGTGATTTGCTGCTGGGGGATATGGAGAGAAGAGGTGAGTACAACCCCCCACATCGATAATCCCCCCATCGCCTCGGACTGACATTGAATGGCATGCCTCTGGGTTGTTTTGATTATAGTTGCAGGGCTGGGGAGAGTTATGGGGGAAAAATTCAGTGAGGCTGCGGCAGATGCTCTTTTAATAGTTTCGTCCTCCGAGTAATAATGCTGTAATAAAGCAAGCACTTTGCGAGGAGAATAGAACGACAGCCGGTGGCTGCGCTCGTTGGGAGCACGACCTACTGGTGTGAAGCGCTCGTGGACCGACAAGTATTTATATTTTTGGATAATTAGGGGATTAAGGCGGTGCATGAATTTTTTTTTGGATTGATTGGCTTGTTTGGTGGTCTGCGGCGCGCTGAGGAAAAAATTAGCTCTGCTGGAGAACTATGGGGTCGACGGGGGATACTTGATGGGGTGGAGCAGATTTACTTGAGGGAAGTCAACAGACTTGATAGGAGGAAATTTAATAGAGCGGAGGTTGGGGTAAAACCGACACTTTTGACTTTTCTTAAAATGTTAATGACGGGTTGGAATGTTGATAAAATTTGATAATTTTTTTTTCAATACAAAGAACAATTCTTTCCCTTTGTGACGAGCCTAAACTGAGAATAGAAAATTCTGCATCGGAAAATTGCAGTTTCCAGACAATTCGCGAATATTCCAGAGGATTCTGTGCCGTTCTAGACCTTTCTTGAATCTTCTAGAACCTTCCATGAATTTCTGGGGAAATGGAAAGAGTAAGACTAGCAGATCGGTGGCCCACCTTCAAGTTAACTTACCCGCGGTCCATTTTTTTTCATGTTGAAATTGCCATTTAGACGGTAAATCCTAATCTTATATAAAAAGGAGATGTTACACGTTTGTTTCTAAATGTCTAAAAGAGAACTCGCGTAAATGATGATGATGATACTGATTTTGGTGATAATGTTGGTGTTGATTTTTAACGGAGTATGTAGTGATTCTCAATTGAAGTTTAAACGGATTTCGATGAATTTTTCGAGGTATTTTAGGGGAGGTTGGGGTTAAACGGACACTGTTGACTTTTTTTAAATGTTAATGAGGGGTTGGAATGTTGATAAAATTTGATAATTTTTTTTTCAATACAAAGAACAATTCTTTCCCTTTGTGACGAGCCTAAACTGAGAATAGAAAATTCTGCATCGGAAAATTGCAGTTTCCAGACAATTCGCGAATATTCCAGAGGATTCTGTGCCGTTCTAGACCTTTCTTGAATCTTCTAGAACCTTCCATGAATTTCTGGGGAAATGGAAAGAGTAAGACTAGCAGATCGGTGGCCCACCTTCAAGTTAACTTACCCGCGGTCCATTTTTTTTCATGTTGAAATTGCCATTTAGACGGTAAATCCTAATCTTATATAAAAAGGAGATGTTACACGTTTGTTTCTAAATGTCTAAAAGAGAACTCGCGTAAATGATGATGATGATACTGATTTTGGTGATAATGTTGGTGTTGATTTTTAACGGAGTATGTATTGATTCTCAATTGAAGTTTTCACGGATTTCGATGAATTTTTCGAGGTATTTTAGGGGAGGTTGGGGTTAAACGGACACTGTTGACTTTTTTTAAATGTTAATGAGGCGTTGGAATGTTGATAAAATTTAATAATTTTTCTTCCAATATAAAGAGCAATTCTTTCCCTTTGAGACGAGCCTAAACTGAGCTCAACTGATCAATTTGTTTCTGAGTTATGAATAATTTTAAAAAAGTCTAAAGTGTCCATTTTACCTCACCCTCCCCTAATAGAAGTTCATATATTTATATAATAAGATGGATTTCTATGGAAAATCATTCGCTTTTAATGCAAGTGTTCACAGCTTTCACCGTGTCTCCTATCGATTCTCGATGGAAATTTCCATCCGTTTGCAATAAAGAAAAATCATGGATTTTCAGTAGAATTTTTCATCGTTTCCCTCGAATTTTTCCTTAGTAATACTAGAGAAATTCGTATACGTGGAAGAATATACTGATTCCAATCAACTTAAACAATAGCGTGATGAATCATATCAAATCTATCAATTTGCCAGGCGCGCGAAGCGCGCCTTCGACCTCGCAAAATAAAAAAGCTAAGAAAATTCTAGAATATTCTGAAATATTATCGAACCACGTAGAGCAGAATGAAACGATATCGTAAGTAAACTCTCAAATCAACTGAGATGTTTTTATAAATTTCCACGCTAATATTCCGATGAAATCACGCAAAATTAATGTCAGTAGCGAAGTGGCAAAAGGAAATAAGTCAATTTTGACTATTGACCAGTTTTCAATCAATATCTCGGAATCTAAGGAAGATAGCGAAATTTTCGTAATTACATTTGTTGTAGCACTCAATCGGCTCCACAAAAAAGGTTATAACAAAAATGTCGCTATCGCCCTTAGATTCCGAGATATTGATTGAAAGCTGGTCAATAGTCAAAATTGACTTATCTTCTTTTTAGCATTTCACTACTATATAAGAATTCCCTCGCAGAAAACTGCTGTATCAGTCTGGAATTTTTCCATAACTAAAACTAACTTTTGGAAAATTCCATAACTAAATAACCAACGGCGGTGGTCGTCTGGGTAGAGTGTAGGATTGGCATGCGGGAGACCCGAGATCCGCTTCCCCGCTGGGGCTCCAAAATTTGTAAAACTAAATCTCACGGTTTCATTGTCGAGCGGGAGTCTCGCAAGAGACGACTGTACCTGCGCAGGTTTTTTCCTCAAAAGAGGTTTTCCCTTGTTCTTCGGCGAATGCCCTACACGGAGTTGGGGGTGGGAAGGGAACAAATCGTAAAGACAAGAAAAGGTATACGAGAAAAAAAAATCCGTTACTAAATAACTTTCTAGAACTTTCCACGATTTTCTGAAGCATTAGCTTCAGAATTAATCGCGAAATTCCTAAAGATCTCCAGAGCATTGCAGAATCTTCTGGAACATTCTTCACCGGAAAATTGCAATTTCCAGGGGATTCTGTACCGTTCTGGCCCTTTCTTCAACTTTCTATCTCAAATTATATAGAGTAAGATCATTAAATTCGAGAATTGAGTGATGAATTTTGGATACTTAATTTAGAGTTTATATTGACGTATCATTATTTTTTTTAATAAAAAAAATTCATCTGATATTTTCCAATCAATTTTTATATTTCAACATTTCGCCCAATCACTCGATTATCTTCAACATGAAATTGAGTTTCTTTGATTCTATTTGCATTAATGTCTAGTTTGGGTCATTCTAGACATCAACATCATGACTCATCATTATTTCGTGTATCAATAAGGAAATGTCTTACTTTCGAATTGAAGGGGGTGCAGATAATTGGAGAATTTACTTGCGTAGAAATATTCAAATCGAAATTGTGACTTATGACAGCCCAGAATTCGAAAGTAAAATGATGACCTTTTTCCTTGATATCTTGTCTTGAATAAAAATAGAAAGGTATTGGGGACTTTTAAAGAGAAATTGATGGAAATTCCTGTAAATTCTTCTCTTTTTAAAAATTGAAGACGTATATGAAAGGGAAAAAATTGATTTGCTCGGGATTTGACTCGCGTGGGTCAATAATTTGTAGATTCTTCTAGAATATATTTCAGGTTCATCTATATATGACAAAATTCATAATCCTACTCCAACTAATTCGAATCGTCCATTCAATTTTATCATTTGGTTATTCATATGAATGAATTAAATCATTTTACAGCCACATTTTTAATTTTCGCAAATGGTTTCAACCGGGTAATATACATTATCAGATAAATTACATTGTTTTTGGTCTACAGTACTGGATATAAATTACTTTGTGGGTGGCCAAGTCCACTGGTGCTCTGGGGCCTCGGCAACCAGGGGCTCCCAGGGCTTCCATACTGACATTTTACGGGCTAGGAGTAATTCGTTCTCTGCCTGGACGATGAGCTCTTCCACTTGACCACAACCTATTTTTTCTTCTACGGTTGCGATATCTTCCGTCTATAATTGAGAAAAAATCAGTTGATATTTCTGCTTCCGAAGAGATTTACTGTTGTATTCTATCGAATTTTGAATTAATTTACAATTGGATAAAACTTAATTCCGATTTAGAAGATACTCTTTGTGAAATGAAAATTAAAGATTTTTTTTTTTTTTGACAGGAGAAGGATTGTGAAGAACAGTTGAGTTATCTTTCGATTTTAATTCTGGGAGAACTAAAGTCTTTCAAAATTTGTCCATCTTTTTAAAATAAAAAAGATAATCGGAGAATTAGTGAGAGTTTGTTTTCATGTTCGCAATGACGGAAGTTACTAATATAATTGGGATGATATTATTACTTTTGAGAGAATTTACTGCGGTATTTCATTAAATTTCGAATTGGATAGAATTTTCAATTCGGGTTTAAATGATACCCTTTTCTAAATGGAAATTAAACACATTTTTAATAAATCTGGTTAAACGGAGGGGTGTGATAAGAAAAATCATAGTGAGAATTTTTTCCAGTTGTCTTTCGATTGTAATTCTACGAGAAATAAATCTTTTTAGAATTGTTTATATTTAAAAAAATATTATTGTGATGTCTTCTATCGAATAACCAAAATCAATCAGTTGATCACATTGCTCCATTAAATTATTCCATTAAATTTCGAATCGGATAGAGTTTTTAGTTCAGGTTCAAATGATACGCTTTTTAAAATAGAAATTAAACACATATTTTTGTCATGACGGCCGTCATGACAAAAAATATTGTTCGTCATACGGCCAAAAAAAAATTTTCTGACGAATATGAGGTTTGCAGCACGAGCCGAAGGCGAAAGTTTTTGTCGGCCTAATGACGAAATATACTATTTTAGTACATTCAATTGAAAGGAAGAGAATGATGAGGAAAAGCCATAGCGATATTTTTTTTCCAATTATCTATCGATTTTAATTCTGGGAGAAATAAATTCTTGAAAAATATTTCTTATAATTGATATAATTACGGGGAGTTTATTTACATGTTCACAATGACACGAATTTCTAATATAATTAGGATGATATTATTACTTTTAAAAAGATCAACTGCGGTATGTTATTAAATTTCGAATTGGATAGAGTAAAAACTCTAAAATTAAAGTTCCAACGGTCCCCTTTTTAAAATGGAAATTCAAAACATATTTTTAGTTCATTCGTTTGGAAAAAAAACAATGATCAAGGAAAATCATAAGAATTCTGAGAGAAATAAATCCTTTCGAACTTGTGTATCTTTCTAAAATAAAAATACAGATGCACAATTACTAAGAATTTATTTTTACATTCATAAAGACATTGAAATATTTACTTGTTGATAAAGTACCCTTGATCACTATTTATTTAGCCTTTATTCAGCCCTTAATTATGTACTCACAGAAATCAAAATAGCTGTTCGATCCTTGATAACTTTTTCCGTGTGCATTCTGTAAGGGTACGTAGGTGGCAATTTCTGCATCACCCGTAGAATCTTAGAGTACAAATGATCGAGTGCACGAAAAGGTGCTTGGGCTACTTTCAAACCCGTCAGCATTGTTGTCTAGAATGAAAGTAAAAAAAATAGATCATGAATCATAAATATTAATTAGCATTCATAATTTTCTCTTTTATATGGAGAGGAAAATCCTCACGAATCAAATCCATTATGTAAACAAAATTATCGGAGTGGAATATCTCAGGGAGGTTATGTCCATTTGAAATTTTCCAGTGACATTATCACGAAGACAACCACTCATTAATTTACTCATAAATTCTTCATTACCCCCCAGACAATTATTTATTTATACTGTACCAATTTCGGTGTAGCTGCCATGGCGAACGAATGAAGGGAAAATATTTCTTCCAGATCAAAACGAAGACGATAACCTGTATTCGTTAGATCACTTTGGATCACTTGTGGCAAAGCGTCAGTTTCCTACATTATCACCTCTATTTTACCCAAAAAATGAATTCAACTTTTTTATTCGAATTTTCAGTTCTTCATCCATAACAACTGTCTGAATATATTACAATATTTTCAAGATATCATCATATTATTGAGGCATTTGATAATTAATTAGATAAAAAAAACACTTTCTTATTCAAATGAAACACGAGAAAGTTCGGATGGATAATTTTCCATAAATATCCCGTTAATTAAATCAAATGTAATTACTCCATCGAATTTTCTCTCCATTTATTTTCGTCAGCATTTATAAAATACTGTGAATAATTAATTATTCATGGATATAAATGACGAGAGAATCCTTGAATTTCAATTTTAATTTTATTGTAATGTATTGGAGTTAAATTCTACTGTAATGAAATGGATTTAATAAGTGGAAGGAAGTATCAGCAATGAAAACACAAATTCGTTTAAAGTAAAATGTTTATTTCGAACGTGGACTGTTTATCGGTTAGACTTGGCGACACGCTCAAGCTCATCCTTCTTTTTGATAGCATAAGAGTTTGACGATCCCTTGGCTGCGTTGATGAGCTCATCAGCCAGACATTCGGCGATTGTCTTAATGTTTCTGAAGGCTGCCTCACGTGCACCTGTGCACAGGAGCCAAATCGCTTGGTTAACACGACGCAGGGGCGATACATCAACAGCTTGACGACGTACTGTACCAGCACGACCGATACGTGTTGAGTCCTCACGAGGGCCGGAGTTGATGATGGCCGTTACCAGGACCTTCAAATAAAAATGAAATCAGTTTTTACCGCAAATAACTGCAAACGTAAATACAAACGATCTTCAATCTTCAATAGCTCGAGAACCGCAGAGTGAAATTGGCCAATTTTTTTTTCATTTTCAAGATATTTTTTTCGTCTTCAAAATGAGCTCTAATTTGTCCAAATCGCATCGTTTAAAATTGATGAATTTAATTAATGAAATGGCAAAATCAATTCAAGTCGATTTAGCACTTAGCTGAGTTTTTGCGGAATATCTCCGAATCTAAGGGAGATAACGAAATTTTTGTGAGAACCTTTTTTGTAGAGCGAATTAAGGGCTACAAAAAAGCTTCTCACAAAAATTCTGCTAACTTTCTTAGTTTTCGAGATATTCATTGACAACTGGCCGACAATCACAATGGACTTGACTTAATTTATTGTTTCATTACTAAAGTCAATTGTCGTCTCATAAAAATCATCAGAAGTGGAGCGATATTCACCTGCAGAGGATTTTCGCCAGTGAGCAGATGAATGATCTCAAAGGCATGCTTGACTATCCTCACAGCCATCAGCTTCTTTCCATTGTTACGGCCGTGCATCATCAAAGAGTTTGTCAAACGTTCGACAATGGGGCACTGGGCCTTGCGAAAACGTTTGGCAGCATAACGACCTGCCGAGTGTGGCAGATACTTGGCGTTCTTCTCCTTGACTGCGATGTAGTCCTGGAGGGACATGTCATTCACCTGAACATCGTCGCAATTCCAACGGCCGAACAATTTAATTTCTGGGAGATCAGCAGACAGGGCCATCGACACCATCTCCGCGCCTGCTGTCGAGAGTACTACATCTTCGTAACTGTCTAGGTCCGCCATGGTTCACCTGAAATACGACAATTATATTGAGAGATTGAGTGAAAAACGAACAAGCTCTCAGACAAGTCTTGTTTGAGCCAACGAAATCGTTAGTTGAAAATTACAAACAAATGGTAAAAATTCAGTAGCGAAATGGTAAAACAGTTTAAGTCGACTTATCTCTTATTTGAATTTTTGAAGGATATCTCCGAATCTAACGCGGATAATGGAATTTTCGTAATAATCTTTTCTCTAGTGCAAATTGAGTGCTGTAAAAAAGGTTTTAATAGAAATTTAGCTATCTTCCTTAGATTCGGAGATATTCATTGAATACTGGGCAATAGTCAAAACTGACTTGTACCGTTTTACCACTTCGCTACTGAATTGATTGCTTTGAATTTTAAAGTCTCGAATATGAATAATCACTCTGCTTTCAACAACAACGAAATATTTGGCTCAGGAGGCGGATCATTCGTACAAAACGGTCACTTTTCAGAATAGAAATATCTTTTATAGAGGGAAGTTTGTCAGGAAATATTCTGTCTCCAAGTTAGAAGATTGCTGTCCTGTGATTATTATTATTTCATTTAAGAATTCATATTTTGTCTGTGATTATTGAAACGAGCATTTGCCGGGAGCATCGAATAACGAAGAAGTAGTGCTAGAAATAACATTTCTTGCTTGCAAAGAGAATTAAATTTTTTTGCAAAAACAATCTATTTTTGCAATAAAAATTTTCAATCTCGTTTTGCATGTTTGGCACATTAAAATCCTTCAATTTTAATTGTTTCATTCAATAATCTCGAGGAATTGAGCACAATTCAAAGATTTAAACAATAATTTAACACAAAGATTAATAAAAATTAATTGATAAAAAAAACAAAATTGGAAACAAAAATGATGGATAATTTTTGCATCATTTGACAATCCACTCTCAACAACAACAAAATATTTAGCTGAAGAAGCGTATCATTCATATAAGACGGTGCTTTTTTCAGGATAAAAATATCTGTTGTAGAGGAAAGTTTATCAAGAAATATTTTGTCTCCAAGTTACAAAATTGCTGTCATAAAAAAATCCTTTTTTCTTATTTTTTAACAAACCATTTTTTTGGTACAAGTGAGACTTTTTTGAGAAATCTGCTGTGTTTTCTCTCAGTGTACAGGATTTGTCTGACAGAACGTGAAGGAAGTTAACCTCAAATTTTTTTCTTTCATTAAAACCCACTAACTTCCTTCAATTTTAATTCTTTCACTCAAGAAATTCAACGAATTGATCACAATCCAAAGATTTAACCGACAATTCAACCCAAATATTCGTAAAAATGAATTGATATTCGTGAAAATTAATTTAAAAAAAAACAAAATTCAAAAAAAAATGATAGATAATTTTTCAACCAAAGGATCAACTGGGGATCCTCATCGTTGTTAAGACTACAGAAGGAAACAATTGTTGATTTTTTGTTGTTAATATTCTTGTGCCTCGGATAATGATAAAGTACTGTGGGACAACAACTAGACCATCATGTGGCCATGCGGTCACATGGACCTCAAGTCTGTGCGTTTCCCATCGAAAAGTAGCCACATACGTGTCACAAATGATTTTAAATAATTATCAGCAAGTCCTGGAGGGTTTATATCACTGCAACTTGACACACTGACGTAAATTATTGACCGCACAATTTAATTTTCTTACCTTATAATGGATGCTCACGTCCTCATCAGAGTAAGCGTGAACAGGAAAAGGCCATGACAGTCATGGCGCTCGTTGCCCTGAGATCGCCGGAATTCAAAAAACCTAGTCAAAAGGGGAACTAAATGTCGTTTGAAACGAAACTTCTGCGATTGTAATGTTCGAATCGATAATTGAAGGGCGATAAAAAGATTTATCTTTCGTTATTACTAAATAACGAAAGATACATATAACTGATAATTAATATTTTGAATAGAAGAGATTTGGTTTTAATGGGAGTTTTTGGGTAATTGCGAACGTAAATGCATTCAGTGAAGCCCCATGAGTGAAACATTAATTGGTTGTTTTAACTCTCAACTGGAAATTGGTTTAAAAAAAATTAATTCACGTTTTATTGTGAGAAAACATGATTTTTTTAATGAAATTGTTCGAAAATGAAAGCCCATTGAACGTTTCATTTACCGACTGCATTATTTGTGCGAGTATTGAGTATTCGGCATCACCCACAGATGGCATTCTTCATCGATATCAATGATTATAAAATAGAGAGCCATGAAAAGTGTTTTCCCCTTTTTTCTGGTTTTTTAAAATTAATAATTGAAAAAATTATCAGTCGTGGTTTTTTCTGCAATTTCCACGTATTTGAAATGATCTCATGAAATTTCATTTAATCGTGAATTTACTCTATCCGAAAAACAATATATCAATAATTAATTTTACTTCCGAATGGAAGCATTGTATTCGTCGAATCCGAAATTTCCAATTTTTCGTGTCAGGATAACTCATTTTGTCCTCACGCGTTCCAATATACTATTTTTAGACCAGAATGACGACAATTGAAAAGATAATTGTTTAAATGAATCCAATTGTGATTTAAAATATTCTTCCCAATGCCATCTTGTCCGCGTTCGATCGTGAGATTGATTGCATTATCTGTTGTTAAAAGAGTTTATTTTAAAATCAATGTTCAGGAAAAGATAAAAAATTTTAACTTTAGGGCAATGTTGTTAAAAAAGTTGTTGTTGTTGAAAAAGTTGGTTTTAAAATCAATATTCAGGGAGAGGTAAACAAATTTAACGTTGAGGCAATGTTAGCTACCAATGTTGGGGTAATATTGGCTGTCAACGTTGGGACAAAGTTGAATTCAATGAATCATTAAATTTAATTAAAAATACATTGAGTCGAAAAAATTTACTGAATATGTTGTAAGCAATTTCTACATGTTTTATTAATAATTGAAAAAATTATCAGCGGCGATTCATTCTTCGATTTTCACATACTCGAAATTATCTCATGAAATTTAGTTTAATTACTAATTTAATAATGCAAGATACAAAACGATTACAAGCGATTGAAAGACAACTCTATCCAAAACCCATGATATCAATAACTTATGTTTTTTTTAAATTAATTTTTCTTTGTTTACAATTCGTCGTTGCTGCCTCCGATTTATAACAGCTCAAGCAGAAATTATTCCTCAAGAATTCCCAACAAATTTATCACAACTTAATTACTCAGAAATTCCACAGGCAATTAAAATCCCAAGACCCAATAGTCAATCACTATAATATTCCCTGCTTAAATGCCGAGAACCGTAATCCTTGTTATTTGAAGAGAGTTTCCGGAGTCGACAGTTTGGAGATACCTCAAAAAGGGGGTTTGTCCGAGAGGATTGAAGTGAGTGAATGGGGTAGTCTGGGCTCGGAGAATCGGGAATAGTGTGGTTGGGTGGGGCGAGGGCAGTGGAAGGGTGAGTACAGGGAATTTACGACCCCTGGCTTGGAATCGTCGAGCCTTCTCGGATTCCACTTTATTACTTTGAGTAAGATTAAGCTCAACCCAACGGGTCTACCGCACAGTCGTTAACACTTTCTCGTATACAAACCCTACCTATTACATTCCCTTTTCAGTCCTGATGTTCCTATTTTCATATCTTTGCTTCCGAACGGAAGCATGGAAGCTTTGTAATTGTTCAAATTTAGGTTTCGAATTTTTTATATTATATGGACCCAGTATGTTCGACTGTTTGCTAATGAATCAATGGAATTGAATCCTTCTTGTTTAAAATGTAAGGATTGTTGAGCCCTACCAATCGCCATTAATTAAAATTTCATTCATCGATTACTTTTTTAATTTTCGATTTTTTTCAAAAATCGGTTGTCCCACGATAACTAAAAAAAATGTTCTCAATTGATTGAATGATGACTTGAAAATTTGTTTGGATGTCCTTTCGACCGAGTTCGAAGATGAAGGCGATAGCAATAATCGTTATTTTGATTGATTTGAAAATTTGCAAAAAATTTGTATTTTTTGAAAATCAGAATTCCGGGGATATCTTTGAATATGATGCTTCAAATGAATTCAATCATAGCTTAAAATGTTTGTTTCAATGCCATTAAGTCGAATTTGAAAGATGATTACGATACACGTAGAGAAATGTTCAGTAAAAATTACGGAATTCACAATTCGCTCAACGATTACGGAATCGACTCAGAAAATTTAAGAGACAATATCGTAATTTTTCATACGAGATTCAGATAAAAATTACGGAACGCTCTGGAAAAATTCCGTGACAGTTCCATAAACTTTCCTACAACCACATTTCGCTCCGGAATTACGGAAAAGATACGTAATTTTTATTGAATATTCCTCTCCGTGTAGCTATATTGATTGATTTGATTTTTATTACGATTGTTGAAAATTTTGAATTTTCCATGAATTTCCCTGAAAATGAGCTTTCGGATGGTTTCTTCAAATGTGATGTTTCAAATTCATTCAAGTATGTGTAAATAAAATTGTTCTATTGACATTTTATCGAAGGGCTGAGGGGAGCGATAGAAGGGTAAAAAAGACAATCGGTTGTATAGAAGAGAGGGATAATAAGAATAATGATGATGATAACATTCAGCTAAGTTGAAAATCTGACGAAATTAGTACAAAAGAAATCTTTCTTAATTTAATAAAACGAAATAAACAATGAATTATGCATGATGGAAGGAATTTATGGGCAAAACAACCATTCGGAAAAATAAGTATCCTGTGTCCAATACAAGAGCAATTTCCCACTTGTTTTTATTGATTTCAGGAATCACTTGTGTCATTCCCCCAAATAGAACAGATTGCGCTGGAATTTCATCATTGAAACGTGAGATCGAGGAAGGATGAAGAAATTTCTTGAGCAGTCTTTCATTCGGGCTACTTGATCCTCAAGGAATTTTTCCCTCCTCTCCATCTTTTTCCCTTCCCTGCGGGTGCGGTTCCCTCTTATTCGCTTTTTTTTTATTCCGTTTTATTCGTTTATACCAAGGTAAACCACCTCGTTCGCTCAGCGTCCTCTTCTTGCTCCTCCGTCACTTCATTCCTCCTTTGCACTGTATTTATTCTCCCTTTTTGCCTCTCGCCCTGTAGCTTGACGGTTGTGTTCCCTAACCGTAGGATGCTAAAGGCAAAAGGTGTTCGTACTCCCTCTCTGCCGCTCTCACCAAGTGTATTCAGCCCACCCAGCTGGCTATCGTGCGTATGTGCCCCCTTGAATCCCGAAGCAAATGAGGCGGAAGAGGCTGAACGACTGTATAATTCCATTGTCGGTCAATAATGCATCACATATGGCATTTAATTGCTATTTTTATCTCGCGTGTACATGCTGATAGGGTTTTCCTGGGAATTTGTTGGAGATTGATGAATTAGTTGATGGGTTGTGATGACAGGAAATACAGGTAATGTAGAGTGTAGCGTTCCCAATTCAAATTGATGGTTTTTGGTCGTACATTTTTAAATTATCGGGGTTTTTGGAACGTCCGCGTCGTCGATTCGGGGTAATGCTAGGAGCTGGGAGGGCTCGAATTTCGATGCCATATCATACTCGAAAATTTATGGGAAAACATGGGTTTTTACAGACTACAAGATAGATTCAACCACTTTCAATCATCAAATTTGGCAATTAAATTGAATACACATTTCTCGAAAAGACAGTTTTGATTTTCAGGGAGTTATCCCCAATTATTGGTTGCTATTCCCAATTCTTTGTTGAAAAATTCTGAAATTCACTGATTTTGTCACCAATTTTTAGTGACACTATCACTAATTTTCAGTGAGATTGCCACTAATTTTTTTTTCATACATAAAGTATATAATTGACGACATGTATATTTTTCCGTGTGGGTAGTGACACTAATTTTCAGGAAAGTGCCACCAACTTTCAGAAAAAACAAATTTCAATTTGAGACTTCAAAGTCTCAATTTCAGACGTGAAAATCTCAATTTAAACTCTCTGAACTTCTGAAATTGGAACTGTTGAATGTCTCAAGTTGAGACTTTCGTTAAAATTAAGATTTTTAAATCTCAAGTTGAGACTTTCAAGCTTGAAATTAAGACTTTCATAAAAATTCATATTTGATCCTTTCGAAAGTCTGAAATTTAGACTTCCTAAAGTCTCAATTTAAGATCTTTAAAATCTTAAAACAAGGATTTCTGGTCTGTGTGAATCTATCACCACAAGGAGGGAAATATTCAGTAAAAATTACGGAACAATTCACGTAATTCGCAATGGGGAATCGTTTTCCGGCAATTTTTATAGGAATGGAAGAGAAGAAATCTGCAACGTGCAGTGAATTTTCAGGTTCATCACCGAACAAAGTATGAAATTGTCGCGTAATTCTTCCCGAAGAAGTCAAATCTTACAGAAACTTGCCGACTTATTATGCCTCCAAAATCCAAAATTCTTGAACGTTCAACAATTTTTATGAAGCTGGTGAGTTATTTCTACGTTCCGTTCCGTAAAATTTCTCAATCGTTGGGGAAAAATTACGGAACGACTTGTTGTCCCCACAGCGGTGAGTCATCAGACGGGTGGTTAATTTTTACGAAACAAATCGTAGAATTTACGTGACGATTCGTACGATTTCAGGTCCGACTCACATTTTTTATTGAATTTTACTTCGCTCGCGGATTACGTTTCAAAACGTAATTTTTACGTTTTTTTCTGGTAATTTCTATTGAATTTTTCTCTCCGTTCACATATAAATCATAAAGATCGGATGATCAAGGTTATTCTCCTCCAGTATCGCCAATAATTGACGATCGATTC